TCAAGCCCGCCCGCTCGGATGGCGAGGTGCGGCAGGTGCGGGAGGAAGTCGTTGCCCACCAAAAACGTCAGAAACACAAAGTCGTCGATCACGCGGTCGCCGTCCCACCACCCCCCCACTGCTGTGGCCGGCGTCGCGCCAGCGGGCGTGCCGGCGGGCGGCATGGCGGGCGGCATGGCGGGCGGGGTGGCGGGCGGGGTGGCGGGCGGCATGGCGGGCGGGACGGCGGTCACGGCGGTCGCGGCGGTCGCGGCGGTCGCGGCGGTCGCGGCGGCGGCGGGCGGCGGCGCGGAGGAGGCGGATGGACGCGACGGAGGCGCCTCGACGCGCCGTGCGAGGAAGGCGGCAGGGCGGAGGGCATGTAGCAGATACTCGCGGACGAGGGAGACGTCGAGGAGCTGGAGGCGCATGCGGGGCGAGTACGGTGACGGAGACGAGAGCGAGGAGAGTGAGGGCAGTGAGAGCGAGAGGGAGGGAGGTGCGGGAGAAGACCGAACCGGGCCGGTCTGGAGGGGAGAAGCGTGGTGTGGGGAGAGAAGCCTGGAGGCGGCGGTCGGCGAGGGGTGCCTCGGCCGCCCCGCCCCGCCTCGCCCGCTGCGCCGCGTCGCCAGGCGCCTATCGAAAACAGGAAAGATCGCTACTGCTCGCCGCTCCATTTCTTTTTTCCAGCTTTGGCCGCGTCGCCAGGCGCCTCCGCCGTCCGCACCACCGGGCACTCGTCCCGCGTGTGGCCGTCGCGCCCGCAAGCGTCGCAGCGTACGCGGAAGCGCTCGGCGCCAACCGGGACCCACTCACGCAGCAAGTGGACGCGCAGCTCGTGCGTGGCGAGGGAGAGCATCACGAGGTCGGCGTCGAGGCCGTAGATGCAGTGGCTCGTGTCGGGCGCGTAGCCGGGCTGGCGGCGCTGCTGCCGGATGAAGTCCATTATCTTGTGCTCGCCCTCTCCAGCGACGGCGGAGTCGGAGAGGACCACCTCGAGCCGCCTCCACGCGGGGCTCGAGGCGGCGCGCGAGGCGCAGTAGTAGCGCAGGCTATGGCGCAGATCTGCCATGAAGGCGCTGCCGGGAGTGATTGCGTTGTGGTCAAAGCTGCAAGCTGCGCCGCCGCTGCCCGGCTCCGCCGCTTCCGCCGCCGCCGCCGCCTCCTCGCTGACCGGGACTGCGGCGACGCGCCTCTCCTCCGCCGTGAGGAAACGGCGCGAGCGCTGCTGGTCCATCTTTGCACGGGGCGCGACGCCGTCCACCGCAATGTACAGCAGCCGGCGTGGCCTCGCCACCGCAACCAAGCGGTCGACGAGCCGGAAGATCTCGAGCATCATCGCGGCGCGCGTTGCCGGCGCCGGGCGGTCCTGCGGGTGCGTCGCATTGTGCACGAGCCCGTTGAAGTCGAGGTAGAGCGCGTCAAACTCGACCGCGGCCGGCCCGGCAGCGGCGCTCGGCCCGGCGGCCACCGGCTCGGCGCAGTCCGAGAGGCATCGCGGCCAGCGATCGTGCACGTACCTGTAGAAGGTGGGGACGCCCATGGCTCGGAGCGTCGACTTGTGTTCGTGCTCGGGCTTGCCACAGCTTGGGCGACGCGGGCTTGCCACAGCTTGGGCGACGCGGGTTGTGGCGTACGGAAAAAAAGAAAGCGCGGGTTTCCACTCTTTGTTGCTCGCTCGCCCGGGCGGAGGGCATGGCCGCGGAGGAGGCGGGCGCGCGCTTGCCAGGCCTTCCGCAGACAGCCTCTCGGGCAGACTGAGGGTCGGCTTTGCGTGGCGTGGCCCGTGCGCTGCGCTGCGCAAAGCTGCGTGTGCTGAGGGAGCATCTGGTGCTTCCTTTGGGAGGCGCGCACCTCCTGCGACTGCTGGAGGGCCGTGCCGCCGCGCGCCGGCGCGCCTGCTTCGTGGACAGGGGTCAGGGCGGGGAGACGGCGCCGCAGCGCCACAGCCTCCGCTGCAAGCCGGTGCAGCACTCTGCTGCTAGAGCAGGTTGTGAATGAGCTTGCCTGTGGCGGGGGTGCAGGAGTCGCTTAGGCTGCTCCCGTGGTGTACCTGTGTTAGTGCCAGTGCGCGCCAGTCCCGTGCCCAGTGAAAAGAAAGAAAGAGAGAAAACGGACAACCCAAGGGAGGGATCGTGCCCAGTGTTGTTGTGCCAGGGCGCCCAAAATTCTTTTCCTCGACGGACCATCTGGCCTCCGCGACCTCCGCACCCGGGACCAACAGGTTAGCACCCCCGGGGACCTGGGTTGAGAGCAGCGGATGCCTACTACTGCTACTTTCCTAACCTGCCTGCTCGCCACTGCGGGCGGAGTACCTGAGAGAGGGTACACGGCGGCGCTCGACGGCGGCGACGAGAGCGTGCTAGTCCGGCCTGGCAATCTGTTGCCGGCGGCGGAGCGGGCGTCGAGCAGCGTCGTGGCAGTCTCCGATCAAGTCGTGAAAGCGGCTAAGCGAGGCGACGAGGCGGAGGTGCTGGCGTGGCTCGACAGCGGCGGGCAGGCCGACGCGATGTACGAGAGAGGTGAGTCGAGCGGCCTCAAGTCGAGCGGCCTCACGCTGCTGATGGACGCCGCCTACTACGGCCACGAGCGGGTGGTCGAGCTGCTGCTGCAGCGCGGCGCGGAGGTAAACCAGCAGAACAGCATGGGGGCCAGCGCGTTGATGGGCGCCGCCGCCAACGGCCACGAGAAGGTGGTCGAGCTGCTGATTCGGCACGGCGCGGAGATCGACCTGCTGACCAGCGACGGCAGCACCGCGCTAATGTACGCCGCCCAGGAGGGCCACGAGCGGGTGGTCGACCTGCTGTTGCAGCGCGGCGCGGAGATCAACAAGCAGGACAGCGACGGCGCCACCGCGCTGATGAGTCCCGCCCGCAACGGCCACGAGCGGGTGGTGGAGTTGCTGCTGCAGCACGGCGCGGAGATCAACCTGCAGGACAGCGACGGTGGCACCACCCTGATGTTCGCCGCCCAGGCGGGCCATGCGCGGGTGGTAGAGCTGCTGCTGCAGCGCGGCGCGAAGATCAACATGCAAGACCGCCACGGCGTCACCGCGCTGAAGCTCGCCGCCGACTATGGCCACGAGCGGGTGGTCAAGCTGCTGCTCCGGCGCTGGGGGTTGCCAATGGCATTCTACTGGACGCACGACACGATTCTAAAATTCTACTGGACGAGTGTGCTTACTACTGGCCCGACCCTCGCATACCTGGCGCTTACGGCCCTGTTGTTTTACGCCTTCAGCTTTCTATGGCGATTGTTCGCCGAGCAAGGTCGGAGGGGGCGCCCGCACCGGCTGCGTCGAACGGCGCGAGAGCGCGCCATGGCCTTGCTGTTTTCCGACATGACCGCTCTCTCTTCTTGGTTCTTCCGCGCTCAGTTGTTGTTTGCTTCCATCCCCTTTGTAGTCTGGGGGTGGGCCAATACCTTGCTTCGGACTTTGGTGGGTGTTGTTCGGCCCTTGGATGCGAGAGCAGCGGAATTGGCGCGAGGCCAGCGAGGGCGGCCACGAAGGCGTGGGGGGGGTGCGGAGGCAGACGCGGAGGCGGAGGCGGCGCGAGAGTGCGCCCGGCTCGAGGAGAGGGCGAGGCAGGAGCAGCGGGAGGCGCGGCGAGCAGAGGCGGAGGCGGCCAAAGCGGCCAAGGACGCGAGGCGGCGAGAGGCGGAGCGCCGGGCGGCGGCGGCGAAGGCGGCGGCGGCCGAGGCCTACCGGCAGATGGCCAAGGCGCGCGACGCGGCGGAGAACCCTCCTGCGCCGGTGGAGCTGGGCGCCGAAGAGGTGTGTGAGTTGAGACAGGAGCCGTTGCCTCGCTGCTCCTCCCCAGCCACGGTTGCCGGCGCGGCCTCTGTAGGTGCTCAGTGCGCTCGAAGCGGCGGTGGAGGTTGGGCGCGGCGGCTTCGGCGTCGTCTATGCGGTAGAGCTGCCTTCGCTGCCGGGCTGGGGCCGCGTTGCCGTCAAGCGAGCCCTCTCAGAGGTGGATGCGAGGGAGGTGATGGCCGAGGTGTCCAACTTGCGGAGGTGCGCGCACCGGGACGTATTGCCGCTACTCGGCTACTGCGGCGCGCCACGTGCGGCTTGCATCGTGACGGCGCTCATGCGAGGCGGTTCGCTCGATGACCACCTCCTGCTCTCCCCTGACGCGCGGGCGCGGCTGCAGAAGCTCGGCTTCAAAGGCACTCCGGGGCTGTCGTGGTCGCAACGACTCTCGGCGCTCTGCGACGCGGCGAGGGCGCTGGTGCACCTCCACTCGAACAGCATTCTCCACCGCGACGTGAAGACGGCCAACATCTTGCTCGACGGCGCGCTGCTGCCGCTGCATACAGCGGGGGGCGAGAGGCGCGTCTTCACCGAGATCACCCGAGATTGCCCTAGATTGCTCTAGATCGCTCGAGAGCTCCACTCGTTAGGCGCGTCTACCGCGCCTTCCTCTCCGACGTCGGTCTCGCCAAGGAGCGGGCGGGCGGGTCGATGACCATGGCGACCAATGCGACCAGCGCCTTCTACTCGACTGGCTTCGCGGACCCGAACTTCCTCGACTCGAACCAGCACTCGGCCAAGACGGACGCGTACGGGCTCGGCATCTCGCTGCTGATGGCGTTGACGGGCGGCGAGCCGTGCAGAGGCCTCAGGAGCGCGTACGAGGACGACGTCTTGGATATGGTCGCCGGCAAGGAGGGCGCCGGCGGCGGGCTGCTGCATGCGGCGAGGCGGGCGGCCCACTGGCCTCAGGCGGCGACGCGAGAGCTGGTCAAGGTTGTGCACGGCCTCGTCTACGAGCGAAAGTCGCAACGCTTGCCTCTGCCAGAGGCGTTGGCGGCGTTCGAGGCGGCGTTGCGCTTCGGTGGCGATGACGACGGTGGCGCGGATGCTGGAGCGGCCGCGGCGGCGCCGGTTGCGGCCGAAAGACCGACGGCGTCCGGCGCCGCTTTCTCGGCCAGCGGTGCCACATCCAGCGGTGCCTCGGCAAGCGCTTCGTCGTCGTCTGGGGGCGGCTCTCTGACGCGCGCGGTCGGCGGGCTGCACAAGGAATATGTGGCGGGCGGCGGCGATGCGTCCTTGGCGCGGCTGCAAGACCGGATCAGCAACGCGTATTTGTCCATGATGGGGCATCTCGAGCGGCGGCACGAGCAGTGCGGAGGCGCGCCACTGCCGAAGGGCAGCAGCGAGGAGGAGAAGATCAACGCGCTTGCGCCGCGCAGCGCCGGGCAGTCGCAGCTCTGCGACTCCGCGCACACCCTGCGGCGCTGGTACAATGCGTGCAGGCACGAGCGAGGCCAGTGGAGCGTGGGTGCGCGGCCGAGTGACAAGGAGGTGGCGCGGGTGATTGAGAGGATCAGGGGACTGCTGGACTCGGAGCGGGCCCGGCGGGCGTAGTCCGGTTTGGGTGTAGCTATGCCTATGACTAGTTGCAACTCGCGTGAAAAACCCACTCAATTAACCCTTTTGCTTCATAAGGTTCCTGGAGAACAAATCTCGATATATCTCCAGTCGTAGCGGTGGAACTTTATTAAAACGGCTCGGTAAATATTTAGCCATGCGGTATGAGAGGATTACGCCACAGTGTCGTTTGAGTCGACAGTAAATCTCCCACAGCCCACGTAAATCCGTCTTTTTCAGGCACCCGGAGCCAGCCGCGGCCGCTTCTACGCCGGCGAAGCACCATCAAGCTGCTGTACGGCCCCGGCATCGCCTCCCCTTGAGCACTTGAGCACTGGATAGGGTCGGTTCCGCATGGTACGGGACCCCTCGATCGTCTCGCCCACCCTCACTGGTGTGTTCATTGGGGGGGGTCATGACAAACACGGTACAGGATCGAGGTGCACGCTGCCGAAGCAGTGTCGTCCCCCCTCTCCCCGACGGCGATGGCGGTGTGACCGATCGAGCTACAAGAGGAGCTTGTTCAGCAGGATCCGGGATAGTCAGGCGCACTATCTCACTGGGCCTGAGATCACCACACGACAGCATCCCGTCACCGTCTCGGATTTATGTGGAGTCGAACCACTCCGGGATGGGCAAGCCCATCGATTGTCATTTTGTTCCTCACCTGGGCCCGCGGGGGGGTTGCGGGATGAGTGGAGCTGGGACGGAGAGGGGGAAGAGAAGGGGAGGGCGGGAGGGGGGGGGGGGGGGGGATTTAGGCGGCCCGGGAACGGGGGGGGGGAGGGGGGGGAGGGGGGGCTCAGATAGTCGGAGACTGCAGTCGTAGCAACTCATAGACGTATTACACACACAAAGACTCAGAGCAACTCGCAGACGTATTACACACACAGAGACCGAAGTCCAGGTCACCCGTTCCCGCACTCGAACCACCTCAGACAGCCTCACCCCTGAGGATTGTCCTTCACCTATCCTAGGTCGATGACTGGCTCGCTGTCGCTTGGGCGCTACTCAGCACGGACCACAACTTCATGCTCGAGGCCATCTACGCCGAGCCGTTCTCCTTTCGCTGGAGACTTCTACCGCTGCTGCGGGCAGAGACGGTCGAGAAGAAGCTCAAGGAGTGTGTCGTGCTGACAGACGACGAGAAGATGACCGAATGCTTGCAGGCAATCCCGGGCGAAGAAAAGCGATTTCTGAACACGCGCATCAGCACGCTCAACTTGCTTCG